GGTAAACTGCATAATAACGCAGATGCCAGGAGTTCTTATTAGAAGCCTCTGATTTGAAACGGGTCAAAAATGGAGTTCCAAACAGCTTAGAAGTGACCAATTACAAGATATTGACATCAAGCCATTTTTGAATCTAAAGGAATCCGGAAAATCCAGACTTTCACTTTCAAGGCGCTGTGCTCAGTGGGTCTCCTTGCTAGTCGAAAATCGTTTACTGAAACGAACCTGGGAAAGTGCAGATGGTAAAATCGTCAAAACGCAATTGGTCGTACCTAGGACAGAAGTTGTTCGAGTTTTAGAAAAAGTTCACAATGTGACCTTAGACAAGATCCATGACAGATCCTATCGGGTAAACCACACCATATCAGGATCAGCAAGTGGCCAGAAGTTTTCGCTATTCCAAATCAAGAAGCATTTACAGTTGCAAAAGTCCTCTTAGGAGGGAGGTTCATCGCGAATATTTGGTCAACTAATTGGCGAGATAAGTGATGGATTAGTTAGAGATACTAGGAAAAGTTAGGTAGATAACTACTAGTAGATTGACTTGAGTAGCGGGAGCAATAAGTGAACTTTAGTTGAACTGAAACGGTAGCTTTATTACTAGTTTTCACATCGAAATACGAGTGATTTTTCTAGAACATTCTATCATGTTATTTTATTTTAGAAATAAACAAGATACGAGAATTTTGACTTTGCCACCGCACTTTATATTTAAAATGAAGTTTACAGAATTATTTCATGTTTAGTACATGACAGCTGCTCGAAAAATATCGACGACAAAAAAGAAGTCACTGTTTCAATGGCCAATGATTGGAGCTCAGATGATTTGGATACAGATTGTAGCCCCTTTTGTTGACAAATTAACAGAAGGCCCATAATATGCTCAGTTTGCTCAGCGAATGCTTATTAGGGGTGGGTCAATAGTTTAATAAGTAAAGAATGGCAAGGGCGTCACTAAATTCGTAAAAAAATTAATAATTAAATTCTATAAAATATTGAAGTGCCAAAATTCAGAAATACACCTAAAAAAAAAATAATCAGCAAACTAGAATAGATAATTCTAGAAAGGAAATAAATAAGGCATACAACATGTTGACATAGGTAAACCAATAAAACACTGAAGCAATTTTCAAATTAATAAAGTATATATTAGTTGTATTCCTTTCACACCTAGGAGGAGCTCCGGATCAGCTCCGGGATGTTACGTACTTATTCCTTTCGAAAAGTGTTTGTTGCACCACGCATATGTTCCCTGCAAATCGGGGGCAACTGAACACCAGAGCGAGTAGCTTGAGTGTTTCAAACTCTTGAAAGGAATACAACTATTTTAACAGTGAGGTTGAAAATCAAGCTTCAAAATTTAAAAAGATAAAATCAATTGTTGATAAAACACTTTAAATAAAATCAATAAATAGAGGTTAACTCTCAATCAAATTCATCAAAATCAAAAAAAAAAAAAAATTACAATTTACCTCAATATAAGTTATTAACAGTGGCTGGCCATATTATTATCATGAAATGAAAATATAAAATAGGTTTCCAGAGAACTAATTGGAAAAAAAAAATGAACGATGAAAAAAAATATTGATAAATATGGTCAGCTTCTGCTTAAAGAACGAATTCAATAAAATCAACTTGCACCTGTATGAAATCAAAATATAGGTAAATGCTAGAGGAGATATAATAGAAACCCTCAAATATATAGGTATAGGACCCAAGTTAAAGATTGATCAATTTTCGACGATGTAGGTACTTATTATCCGTTCACAATCCGATGTCCACAGGTAGGTACAGGTAAAACCACCTTTCAATGATACTCAATAATTTTAAATTTAGAACATATTGTCCAACCTTGACTTCAGTTCAGATTATTGATTATGAACAATAACATTTACATTCCTAAAACATAGGTGAGTAAAGGCAAATCTACAGGGTGTATATTTTAAGTGATACCACTATTGCTATATTCGAAACAGTGAAAGCTACAAGGTCGGTTAAATTAGAAAAAAGTTGCCTTTTTTGATGCCCATTCAAGATTCATTTACAGTGTTGCCAAATTCCTTTTAGTTTATGAAATACAGGGTGATTTCTAAGAAACGCCTAAAAATATTCTATCAAATATTTCGAAAACTATTTATTTTCGGGAGACAATTTAAATTTGAAAGTTTTATAATTTTTTTCGCTCTACAACAGGGCATCTTCAAATTTTGAATCCGACGTTTCGTGGTTAAGCTACCATCATCAACTTCAATTTTTTAATTACGGACCTGGATTTTTTATGACATTTTAAGAAAGCACTCTTTATTCCCTTTTCAACGATATACCTCTTAAGTATTATTGGTCGACGTTTCTGATCTAAAAAGTGATCATCAGTGATTTTTACCAAAATTTTACCTTAATTCGGACCTAGTTATGAACCTGTATTTCAGAAACTGAAGAGAATTTGGCAACACTGTAAAAGAATCTTAAATGGGCATCAAAAAAGGCTACTTTTTTCTAATTTAACCGACCTTGTAGCTTTTACCGTTTTGGATATAGCAATAGTGGTATCACTTAAAATATACACCCTGTATAATAAATTCGATAAATCGAAAATTAATTATTCAACCATCACCTCGGTGTCAAGAATGAGAAATTTTAAATATTTGTATGTATTGTTCGTCGATTTTTAACTGATACTTGCGGTATGAGGAGCGAGGGGGTGTTTCATATGGCAAAAACAGGTGTGACGTCAGGTAACCATTGGCATTCTAATGTAGGGAGCCACCAGCTCACATTCCGTCCGAGTATCAGATTAAAATCGATGAACAATAAGTCATATCAAAAAAAAATTAAATAGTTTGGTTAATTGATTGTAGAACAGATTTCATAAAGAAAGGTGATAATGAAAGTTATTAATGAAACTTTATAAAAGCCTCCACTCCAACAAAAGGGGGATTACGGTAGCCATCCAGCCATCCATTTCCGGTCACTCGACGAGGGAAGTTGCAAATCAAAATGGCAAATTCTAGCCTTGAATCAAGGTACATAGAGGCTAGAAGTTCAGTTTCTTTGTCAAATGTGGAGGTACAGGTATCAACACGTGAGGAAGTCTCCTCTAGGAAATCACTTCAAGAGCTCTAGTCTATGCCCAGAGATATGGGCTTGTTGAAAATAGATTCGTTGAGAGAAATGGCTAGTCGGAAAAACGGCTCCTCGGAAAACCCCAAACCCTAAGTAATAGAAGCATTCCATGAACAACCATTACTGGGGGTTCGAAATTCAAACTCAAATAAAACGGTAGGCACAATACTTTCGATTCAGATTTTCACGGTATTTATTGAATTATTGCGTTACGCAACTTTGTTCCGTTAAAACAGTACCTGATGTCCGATAGGGTATCACAGTTGAGGAAGATGGCTGCCCCCAGGCCAGAGTCGACCTATCAGGGCACCGTCAAGATTAAAAAGGGGCGAGGAAAGAAACGGACAAAATGAACAGGTAGAGCTTCCCCTCAAAAAATAGCCAACGGAAAGTGTTGCTACTAAACTGGTACTTCAAACTTAAACAGAAATCTTCTTTTTTCAATGCTAGTCACCAGACTGTCAACATTAATGGTGCATTTACATTCACTTCGAAGTCCAATTTGTCTTGAAATTGACGTGCTTGTCAAATCGCGATAGCACGGATCCATTTACATTGAAGTAAGTTTGAAGTTCACTTCAAAGTTCACTTTAAATTTGGGCGAGCTTCTTGCCGAGGTCAAGCAGAAATTGGTGAAATGTCAAACTTTTAGATTCTCATAAAATTTTGACGTTTTGACTTGACGTTTTTTCTCATTTTCCAATATCGAATAAAGTGAATTTTGTTCTGCCATGTAAATGATAAAATATCAAACGTCAAATTTAACTTGAAGTTAAAAGTGAATGTAAATGCTTCTTAAAGGTAATAATTCAACTATAAAATTATATTTGAAAGAAAAAAGTACTAACAGTAGCATTTCACATACTACAAGGTTTGAATATAGAATACTAGAATATAGTGCGTAAATATCCCATTTTTGATCCTTGAAAGAATCCGTCGATAGATCAAGACTGGTGGGATCGAGAAAATCAATATTATCCTTCAAACAGACGCTCTACATATTCCTATGACAAAGAATACTATCAACGCTACATACGCCCACGCAGGCGCAAACTAGTTGTATGGCAACATGGCAGTCAACAAAAGCCATTGTTCTAAATAGTTCCCGTGAAATCAGTGCATGGAAAGAAGAACGGCGCAAGCGTGAGGGTAGACTTAGGTACATAGGTGGACATTTATCCTTCGTCTTTGTCTAATTGTTGATACATGATAAAGATGCAACACAGCCCGAAGAAACCCGAACACTTTTCCGACAATGGAATACAAACACAACAGATGCGGGTTTCGCCTCGACACCACGTGACCTAGGCAAGACAAAGATACATATATCGACTCACGATTTGATTCGAGATAAAATAGAATTAAAAGATGAAAGATGTAGTATTTTAATTCGACGCAGTGATTTACTAATGAAAAATTCGGCATCCACGCATTTTTGGGACTCTGACGTCATAGTCCTGGCACGCGTATTCTCAGCAGATTAAAAATTCTATATTTAAATCATTTTATTTTCAAAAATAGGCGTTTTTGTTTGAAAAAAAGTATACATATGTTTATTAGAATGACACAATAATTTAAATATGTTTTTGGAAATTGTGAGAGTGACCTATTGTAAAAGAGTTGAATCGATTCAAGATAAACTTGTTATTTAAAAAAGGCAAAACATCGTGTTAAAAACACTGAACTTCTCAACATTGCAAACGTCGCCGTAGAATAATCACAGTATTTCCAGATATTTCTGAGGATTTTCTGCCCGATGATTTTCTGTCAGGATATTCTGCAGTCTAGGACAATTTTCCACGTGTATTCGGCTTTAGAAGGCAGTGACAGATAATTGTCGACATTTGTCAATGTTCTCACATTCAATTATCAATATTCTTCTAACACCATAAATGAATATTTTTACAAGGTAATTTAATACTTGAAAATGTTGAACACATTCTTAGTAAGAAACTGTATAGAAGTGCTGTTTTAGCGACAAGATGCAATATTCGGAATAATCTTATTTTGCGATGGAATGGTATTGAATCAAAAAGCACCAAGATAGCTAAAGAAGAACAAAAAACTACAGAATCCAAACCAAATCGTCCCAATGTACCACAATTAGCAAGAGACGTTTTCATAGCAGCTCATGTAACTACAGGCCAAGCTAGAGTAGCGGCAATATGTAGCAAAGGCAAAGTCTTACATGTTAGTGAAACTTCGATTAAAGTGTACCAAGTTGGAACTTTTAATGAGATGTCTTCGGAAAATGTTTGGACCAATTTGATAAAATGTATAAAAGTAAGTTTGGGCAAATTTCTCAATAAATTTTTACCCCAAACTGGAAAATTTATAAAACTTAAAAACCCAGTTTAAAAATCTAATTTTCAGGCAGTAACTACAAAGTTAGAGCCAACAGATCACATAAAAGGCATTGGATTTATTTCCGTAGCAGGATTAGTTTGTTTGGATGAAAAAGGACAGCCTGTAACTGCTAGTACCAGCAGTAAGAACAATTTTTTTAAACAATTCACAAATTACTCATTATAAAAATTTATAGATGATCCAAACATTAATATAATTCTTCACTATGATCCTAGATCGAAATTGGAAGCTAGAACTATTTATAAAACTCACCATGAACGTCTTAGGTATAGAGGTGAAAGACTCCAGCCTGACATGCATGAATCAATGTTAATGTGGCTGAAGAATAATTTGAAAGAGAACTGTTGGGATAAAGTTGGACATTTTATGGATGTGACTGATTTTTTAACTTGGAAAGCTACGGGATCTTTAGTGAGGTAATTCTTGCAGGTATTATTATGTGCATAATTGCATAGTAGCCATTTGCGGTATTGAATTTGGAATTACGAAACGTGTTTAAGGACCTTGAAAGATGGTAACATTATTTCGATTCGAAAAAGCTTAGGTGATTCTAAAGACAAATACATACATTTATTTTGATTCCTATCCAAATTAAGTTTTGGCAGAATTGAAGTTCTTTTTTTTTTTCAGGTCGTCATGTTGTTTGTCTGCAAAATGGAGCTACGTAACTAGTTTAAGTGGTGTACCTAGCTGGGACGCACAATTTTTCAAAGAAATCGGCATTCCAGAGGTGGCAGAGAATGACTTTAGAAAAATTGGTAAGTACACATTGAACTGTGACTGCCTTATACATGTAATTATTCACAATCAATTGGAGGTTAATTATTGCTGGCAGGTTCTGAAGTTCAAACGCCTGGTAAACCTCTGGCCGATGGTCTCTTGGAAGCAGTAGCTAAAGAAATGAAGCTTCCACCAAAATTACCTGTAGCCACGGGAATGACAGAACCCTACGCCGGATGTTTGGGCCTAATTGGTTGTCAAATTCCAGACAATATAGCCGAAGATTTTACTAGCAGAACATGCAAGTATTTAGCATAGAAAAGAATTCGACATAAAAAATATTGTTTTAGGTATTATTGTCGGCCTTACTAGCGCCTCGCACTTCATATTTTCCCGAGAACCCCGATTCGTTAAAGGCACAAGAGGACCTTTCCGGGATAGCGTGCTACCCAACATGTGGTTGAACCATGCTGAGCAGACCACCGCTGAGAGCATCCTTCAGTTTATCATCGACTCACATCCGGCCACCACCGTTATTAAAAAGCAGATCGCAGAAATGTAATTCTATTATTAATAACTATGCTGAAGAAATGCCAACTTAAAAATGGAACTTCTTATTTCAAAAAGTTATGATTATGATATTTATTGTAACCCCTTTTGTTAATGAATTAACAAGAGGCTCATAATATGCTCAGTTTGCTCGGCGAATAATGAGGTATTAGGGGCGGGTCAATAGTTTAATAAGTACAGAATGACAAGGGCGCTACTGAATTTGTAAAAATAAATCAATAAATTACATAAAATATTGAAGGGTGAAAATTCAGAAACACACCTAGAAAAAATAATCAGCAACCGGTAATTGATAGTTCTAAAAGGAAATAAATAAGGCATATAACTCAACCAAATCTTGACATAGGTAAACCAATAAAACGATTAAGTGAGTTTCAAATCAAATTAGTGTATATTTCACAGTGGGGTTAAAAATCAAGAATTAAATAATTTTAAAAGATAAAACCAATTGTTGGTAAAACACTTTAAATCAAATCAATAAAAAGAGGTTACTCTCAATCAGATTCATCAAATTCCAAAAAAACATAATACAGGGTCTCTTCCTTATAATTAGTGCGGCTCCTACAGCTTAAACAACAAAAAACACAAAAAAAAGTTAAAGACAAAAGTTGTAGGGTTTTTTTATCTCTATTATCTTTTGCATATGTCAAAATGGGCAAATGGCAGGTGCCAACTGTCATAATGAGAGCACTTGCATTTTTTTGAATGGAACACCCTGTATATTTTTTGCTAGAATGATACATTTTTTTCTTCTGATTTCAAATATACCATATATGTTGACATTTGGTTCAGCTGTTTTTGCGCTATTTCATTTTAAAATTGCATTGAGCAAGCCTCATCATTGATATGAGAAACCGGGAAAAGACCTAATTTAGGGGTATCTAAATGCATTTTTAAACTTAAATAGCGTAAGAACAGCTGAACCAAATATCAACACATATGATATATTTGAAATCAGAAGAAAAAAATCTATCATTCTAGCTAGAAATATACAGGGTGTTCTATTTAAAAAAATGCAAGTGCTGTCATTATGACAGTTGACACCCGTCATTTGCCCATTTTGACATGTATGAAAGATAATAGAGATAAAACCCTACAACTTTTGTATTTAACATTTTTTTTTATTTTTTTTTTGTTTGAGTTGTAGGAGTCGCAGATGCCATATAAGTTCATTATTAGTCGCTGGCAATATCATTATTATGAAATGAAAATATAATATTTATGTATCAAGGGAATTATGAGGACCAAAGGCCCTCGGGACACAAACTTTGCCCGTGGTATTAACACCTGGTAATTCCCGTGGTACATAGATAATTTTATTTCCTACTGAATTTACTGTATTTTGTCAATTTTATTGAAATGTTCTGCTAATAATAAAATTCATATAAACTTTCCCATTTTTTTTTTTCTGGTTTTGAAATTATGCCGTACTTTTCGTGTCGAGCTTAGACTAAAGTATTAATATTGTTTTGTTATACATTTCCAGACCCATTCTCAGCTTGTAGCCTATAAATGAGGCCTAATAATTATAACCATAGGCTCTTTTTCAAAAGTAGAAGTTTCATTTTCGTAAATTCCTCACTCGTTAGAGCTCTTCAACTCAACAACTCAATATAAGAATAAGAAGTCAAATAAAATGTGAGGAATACTTTTTTTTTTTGCAGGCATATTCACAAATATTTAAACAAAATCTTGAAATCCATGGCCCAGAAAAGCAAGCAGAAGGACAGGGCATTTCTTAGCAAGCATCTCCATATATCGCCAGATTATGATGGAAATAGGTGTCCCTTGGGAGATCCTCGGATACGAGGAATGGTAAGGAATATAAATAATTATGAATAAATGATACGGGAAAAAGTCAAAGTATTAGAGTTTATATGCCACTGAATTTATTTTTTTATAGTAAGTACTTAGTTAGAAACTCGCAAGGAAAAGACAGATCAAATATCGTAAAAAGTATAATCACAAGATGTGAATATATTTTGGGATTTCTGTTTAATTGCAGTCTTAGGAAAAACCTCGCAAAAATTACAAATAATAAAGACACATATTACTCGATAGTCAAGCAGAATTCTGTCAAAAAAAGCAAAAAACCTAGAAGTGAGGTTAGAATGAAACCAAGCGGAGAAGATCTGGGGCTTAACTGGAATTGAGGCGGACCTTAAACAGTGGAGCAAAGCAAAATCGTAATTTGGGTTCCACTTAAATCTAAGGCTGACAACATGTGAAATTGCGCGATTTTCGTTCTTCGGTATCTTTGCGTCTCGACCATGATCGGGATGTCTGCTATCTCTTCGAGCTGAAATTTTGTTCCTCATCCCATTCATCCATTAAGTCGTCTAATGGGATGTCAGGGTTGACTCCTCTTACGATAATGTTTAATTTAATGTTCTCTATTAAGAAATAGGTGTGGTATTGAATTTTATTGAATGAAATAAAGTCCAAATAAGGCGAAAACCGACTTTTCATTAACATATTCCTAGACGAAAACCACACAATTAAATTTGGTGTTTTTTTTTAATTATTTTGGGATTCAGTTTTTAGGTTCCCTAGTTATTTTGGAAGGGATTTTAACTCGGGTTTGTGGAGGTTCTGGTTGCGAAGCTTGGGCTTTTGGTTGGGTTTAAATGGGTTTTATTGACAAATTGGTTTGTGGCACATTTGGGGGTTCTTCTTATCGTTTTTTGGCAACCTTGGGAATATTTGAGATTACCTCTTCGTCTCAATGTTGGTCAGAGTCTGTGAGAGGTTTCCATTAGTTGGACGGGTTATTCATCTTCTGATGAGGAGGACGTGTTTGGGCCTAGTTTTTGTCTTTTATTTTGGTTGCTTTTTTGGGAATTTTGGTGTTTGGGTTGATTTTTTATGATTGGAGTTTGGTTCGTTCTCTATTTGGGTGAGGTCATCAATTTGCTTTTGCTGAACTTGGATTGTGCTCATTGCTTCACTTAGTTTAGAATCTTGGTTCTTGAAATTTACTTTTAGATTTTCTGTTTGGTTCTCAAGGGTGATGGCTTTGAGATTGAGACCAGCGACCTCTCGAGCTTGGTTTTCGGTTTTGGTTATGAATACCGCTTCTGGGCTTCATTTTCAGTTAGTTGGCTATCTCTGACTTCAAGATCATCGGTTAGGCTTTTGTTATAATTGGAAATAGAAACTAGTTCTTTATTTAATAAGACTATCCTGGCACGATACTGATTTTCTGAAATTCGTATATTATATGGATTTTGATAGTTGCCTTACCTGGTTGGTGGGTTACTCATTTTCACAATAGTTATTACTATACCCACTTTTCTCCTTTTTTCGGAAGAACTCATGGCTGGGGGTCGACCTCTTCATACGCCCGAGCGTTGTACAGAAAGTTACAATTTCTTCTCTGCCGTGACTGGGTCTTCCTTTCATGCCTCAGAAACTGGGGCTTCAATTGCTTCTATTAAGTTTGCCAGCAGGCCACAGGTCGAATTTGACTAATAAGCCTGTTGATCTTCTGCTCGACAGGTCTCTGGTTCTACTATAGGTACTATAAGATAGCTAAATCTGATATAAATATTATTTAAAAGTTGTGAATATTATAACTTCTCTAACTTTGCTCTGGTAGGTGAAAATGCGGATCTCCTCTATTGTCTTGTTTCGTATTACATATTTAGTTTTGCTTTGTTACCTATAGGTATATTTTTTTCACATGTAAACATTTATCATAGATGCGCATCAAATTTATAAGTCCAGTGCCAATGAAATCAATTATTTAAGTAGGTATGCACTGTTTTCTTATACCTACTCAAGTAGCATTTTTCCGACTTACGACTAGATTTTCACTAGTTCCGACGTTGTAATTGGTAGAAATTTAGGTAACTTATTAACTTTTCAGTGAAAGTAAATACCCGACTTTCAGCCGACGTTAAATTAACGTCAGACGTTTATGATAGCTTTAGTCAACGTAGATCAGGATCGAGTGTATAGTTTTTTATGGTAAAGCTCGGGACGTTGAGCAAACGTTAACTTTTTAAACGTTCTTTTAGCAATGTATCCAGCCCGGGGTGGAAACAAAATCACTAAAATTGAATCAAAAGTTCAGATTTTATCGTTAACATAACTAAACGTAAATTAACGTTGCATTTGGTGAATGATGCAGCACTTTGAAAGTTGGTTACCAACGTCGGCACGACTCAAATTTGAATGTTTCAAATTAGTACAAAAAAGGGTTGGCAAATGGTTAATTCGACGTCAATAACTAACGTCCGGTTGTTTGAGGCGACGTGGGGCTGACGTCCAAAAGCTATTTTGGGTAGTGCTTGAGAAATGAACAATAAACATAAAGGAACATCGCACAATATTTGATCTGCCTATTCCCTCAAATACGAATTTCTAACTAGCATTACAGTTTGTCGAGCAAAGCAAGATATATGGAAATTTCACCCATTGCATAATACGTTGCCTTCTGAAGGCATTTCCTTATGCAAATATACTCACCCTACCTAATTTCGTACTGTACGGGAAACAAAGCGTTTCAAAAACTTCCATTTTCTTGACAAATTGTACAGGGTGAGTCACCATATTTTGACACCCACGTGCAGCCGTAATTACAGGTCATAGGTGAAAGATGTAAATACAAAAGTTGTAGCATTTTATCTGAACCTCCTGAATTTTTAACTAGATTAAACAAATGAGCAACGCAAAGTAGGAAAATATGTTGATGTTCACTTTTTTTTAAATGGAACGTACCTTATTTCCTTTCAAATTCTTAAAGTTCTCCGTTTTTCTGATGCAGATTACATAATATGTTAATGTTTCTTTCAATAATTTTGGAAATATCTGGAGTTTAGTTATTCAAGGACAGTAGTTTTTTTGAATAATATTTTACCTTGATTTATCTGGCACCTGTCGCAAAATATTTTGATACGTGAATATATCCTATTCACAATCCGATGTCCACAGGTACAACTAGATTTATCACCATTCCTTATCAAATAGTATTGAAAGGTGATAAATTTTACCTATACCTGTGGACATCAGATTGTGAATAGAAAATACGTCTTTGAATAACTAAACTTCAGATATTTCCAAAACTATTGAAAGAAACATTAACATATTATCTAATCTGAATCAGAAAAACGAGATTTTTAGGAATATGTAAGAAAATAAAGTGCATTTCATTTCAAAAAAGTGAACATTGACATATTTTTTTACTTTGTGTTGCTCATTTGTTCAATCTGATTGAAAATTCTGGCAGTTCAGATAAAATGCTACAACTTTTGTATTTACCCCTTTCACCTATCACCTGTAATTACGGCTGCAGGTGGGTGTCAGAATATAGTGACTTACCCTGTATCTACATATTAATATATTGACATCCCAAAATAAGAGCAAGGCGAACACCGATAAACGTATTATTCATAGTTCTCTGGATTAACGTTTTCCCGTAGCCAAGAATCTTTGGCCCTGATATATTTGGCCGCGATGCAGTCAGTAGCGGTAAGTAATAATAAATTATTAATTATTTACTGGTTTACCCTATATATCTTTATTTATCTATTCAATCTAGCCAAAAAGAACACGCGTGCACTTGCACTCTAAAGTGTTTCACATTAAATTCATCCAAGGTTTTCTATTACACTGAGAGAAGATGAAAGTGAGCAATAAAGGTCTGACGAAAATAAAATACCACTGCAACCCTCGGGAACTTTAAACTTCTTGCACCACTTAAATCTTTCTCTGCGAATAAAATAATTAATTATATATCTTCTCAGGGGCAAAGCGACAAGATAAATAGAGTTAGTTTAAAATCTAATTCTTAGTTCGAATATATCTTTTTTATTTGCTGTAAGTGATTATTCTTTTTGAATATTTCAGTACAGCTCTAGACACATTTCAAGTAATTTCACTCAATTTGGACATGATGCACGTTGTATTTTGATTGGCGGCAATCTTGGAAAAAATTCTGTTTTTGCTCAGCTTCATAAGGATATCTGTCAACTACCGATAGTGATTCCTGAAGAGCCAAGGTGTATGCTTTTGGGAGCAGCTATCTTAGGTTAGTACCCAAATTTTTTTTATAAGTAGAACATAGATTGAAGCTCTGATCAATACTATAAATGGTAGAAATCACTCTGATGCCTATCTATGTAGTGAATTTTACATAAAAACGTGAGTCGAGGTAGAGAACCCGCGACAAACACCAATCAAAAGCCGCCGTTTTCAATGTACCTACCCGGTGTTTTTTATCTTTGATATCATTTTGATCACCTGTAACTTTTTTGTTTTTAAAGATATCTAGGTAAACAAAGAAACATAATTAAGGGGTTAGAAGCCAAGTTTTTTTTTCAAGTCACACATAAAACAAAATACTTTCAATATTCTGACATTATATTTTTTTAAATGGAACACGCTGTTGTTACAAATAATATTTGTTATTTGAACTTTAAGATAAGAGAACCTAGGGTCGTGGAATTCAAGAAAAGTCAAAATAACGTGTAGCCCCTTCATGTGCGAATGAAACCACTCAAATCCAACAAACAATAATTTTATTTTGTTTACAATGTTATGTAGTAACAGTCAATGTTCCTTTCTATAAAATTTTACAGTTGACAGCTTGGTTATTCTGGTGAATCTGATACAATGTACCTTTCCAATCCGGAGCTCTTCGTGTTGTTTCCTGTATCCAGGAAGAGGATAGATTACTGGGGTGACGTCACTCCAGCTGATCCAGACTCCAAACAGTGATCTTTATGTCGAGTACCCAGAAAAGAATAAGGCACCCAACTAGCAAAATAAATATCAAAAAGAACAAAAGTATTATATAGACATCCGTTAGTGCCCCTTTGAGAAGAGTTTTGTTCTATAACGCCAAGAGTTGACGCACTTTTAGGGAATGATCCAAATTATTCTGAAATTTGGTTGTAAGAGCTAATATACAACAAAAATTAAAGAACAAACAGCAGTCAGATGTATCTATGTTTTATTAGCGTTGTATAAATATTACTTTTTACAAAGCCCTCTTATAACAGTTAGAAAAGATAGATAAAAGAGCTGCATAGCAGTTCTAATGATTGTTAATGCAGCTTCTATAGAACATTTTTATATACATTTTGTACTAAGTTGTATAGCTTACTTTAAAATCATTTGATAGAAGATGTATATATTAATAGATTACAGCTTCTAAAGAACTACTTCAAAACTATTTTATAATGCGTTTATAAGCTCAGAAATTGTAACTATTATAAAATTCGTATATCATTAAATTGTCGCATTCAGAATAAAACGTTTACTAGAACTCCGTTATACAACTTAACCTTCAATTCATTCTGGAGTTGAATCCGCTTCTTTCTGGAGTTTGTATGCCCATTTTTTTGGCCAAAATAAAGTATTCTTATGTTCTCATGACTCGGGAACAATTGTTAGTTTTTTCTTGTCTTTCTCTATCGTTTCCACTATTTTAAACATTTAAACGGCACGTCGAAACGATCCTAAAGGGTGGGTTGCCAGATTGGGCAGTTTGTATGAAGATCATCTATTTTGGTTAGAAAAAAATACAAAATAGTAAAATAGATGTAAGGTTTCAGGTAATGCAATTAACTATGTGTTTGTTCGTATATTGCTTAAATCCTGTTAAAAAATCCTTTATTCGACGTTTGAGTGAAGAACAAAAAGGGTTTGTCACGACTCTCGTCTTAGTCCACTTTAACATTGGCAACTCTGTAAAATTTTAAATATTGCATGTACTGCACTTTTAGCGCGTCCTTAGAGAACATTACTCAACTAAAGCCTCGTATAATGACGCAAATAGAAGAAAAGTATTGTATAAAAAATCCGCCATATTTTTATTTGTGTTTTTACTTTTTCGTATGACGCCATTGTGGAACAAACATTTTGTAGTACAAAAAACCCATAAAATAGTCATTTTTTCGGGGAAAACTCGCTATTATGTAGTTAATCCAGCACTTGCTTTCAAATCTTGCCCAAAAATAGCAAGTATCATCAATATTATTATTTATAGTTTTCAATGCAACCGAATTTATTGAACCTAATTTTCATGAATGAAGAAGCGCAAGCATTCTTTGCTGCAAAAGTATATAGGTTTTTTCAGAAAATTTTTCTGCGCACATAAAATTACACCTCGATATGCGGTTTATTGAAAGATTTTAAAACACATTTCTAGACCTTCGACTTCGCCTGTTCGCCATGTTGAAATAACATTTATCGACATTGTCTTCTTTCTTGTAAAACGTATACTATACAATTCAAACACTATATTGTAGATATATGTATTTAAATACATTATATAATCTCTTATAGAAGAATTGCCAAACATCAAACAATATATTCATAATGCAATTTGTACTTGCCTTTTAAAATAAATGCGTTGTATAAGGCAGTCGATAAGGGTGTCTTTATGACAGTTTTTTAAGAGTTTTTTAAGTATGCCTACAAAAATTGTATAATGATTATATAGCATCACAATGCAGACACAATACCATTAAAACATTTTATAAAAATGGGCCTTTTTTGGTTCTGTAGATATGGCATAACAGTTTAAAAACTGCTTTTAAAATAATTTGATTTTATCAACATTTGTTGTGTAGTTGTTTATACAAACATTATAAATATCATTTTGCTAGTTGGGCAGTATCAGGTTCACCAAGATTTGGAATACTAAATCCCTGAATTCTGTCAAAAGCGAGTGTCTTCCAAAGAACAAAAAAATTAATATGATATTAGTTTATTATAAAACCATTGTTGTGCAGACACTCCCTTCCAACAGAATCAGGTATGAACAACTATTCGCAAATTGAAAAAAATAAAATAAAAATTTAATATAAAAAAAAATACAATTAAATAAATGAAAAATAATCATAGAAATAGATTAAATTAAAATGCTCCCTACAGGTTGAGCAGAGTGCTGCTTTTCCGGCAGTAGCAATAACAAGCAAGAATATAAACAAAATCAGATAGAAAATTAGGAAATTAAATCTTTAGATTCTCCTCCAAATAGACAAAATTTTCCTTTTAAATTAAGGTAGCTACTATAGATACTACAAGATAAACCTGACGGTGAAATCAATCAAATCCAGAATATGTCAAAATTCTTGTGATGTTTTAATTAAAACTTTTTAAATGAATTTTTGACCTGTCTGGATTTCTATTTCAAAGAATTAAACCCTTTTCAACACTCTTCTCCTTGAGAAGATAATAATTGATGGAGTCAAACAGAAAATGGCTATACAGGCCTCTGCCTGGATTCAGTAAAGAGTTAATAGGGATGGACACACAAATTTGGTTTTCACCGACTCTATTTAGAGCAAATGTTCTAATATTCCCACACTAACAATTGATTCTGAAAACCAGAGCAGCAGTACCTATTTATTAGCCCAAAAAACTGAACTGACTTACCTCAGAAAAACGTGGAACCACCGGCAATCGCACAAAATGGGGGCCATAGATAGAGGCCCACAATTAGATGAAAAATTAAAATATAATATTTAATTTTCAAGAATAGATAAGAGAAGATTTATCAGGTAAAAACTTAACAATGATATGATAATATGCACTGATAGCAAAATATATTAAAAAATGTATAAGGGAGAATCCAAAAATGTGAAGTTAAAAGTATGAAAATAAAAATGACTCGCCTGCTACAGCACTGCCAGGAAAAAAGAACGTTCCGGAAACCAATCCCTATGGGAAAACAATCCTGTGTTTTTTATACTTAACCGCGTTTTAACCGGATCAACCAATCAGAAGAGTACACCCAAAAGCCCATATTCACTTTACAAAGACTTCACGATGAAAAACCACGTGGAATAGAAGAGAATAGATAAAAATCCACTAGAATTATTTTAATTGTTTGCAAATTATAATAATTCAAATTAAGGTTATGTCAAAAACAAAAAAAAACTGCTAATTAATTAGGTCATTAGGCCAAAAAATGATTATTTCAGAATCAGAAGTTAGAGAAAGACAGAAATTTATCCATTTGCTAAAAGTAAGATAAATATAATTTATGAAAATAATAAATGAAAATACAAATGACCGTCAAATGAGAAATAATAAAAAAAGCTAGCAAACTATCACAAATTTAAATAATAGACCGGTGCATAACGACCATTTTTTGAAAACGATTTTCTCCCGTCTGCCATCAAGGGTGGTTATTCTTCATGCAATAAAAAGTGGAATGGCTGAAATTTCAAAGAGCCCCGCGTGTGACAATACAATGATATGCTAATTTGAAAATGTAATGAAAAGTGGAGATTTGGATCAATATTATCCCGTCTGCCACACATTGTGCAGGTAATTCAAACAAAAATGAGTACAAGGAAGCTAAACAGCGGAAACCCTAGGTTAGTATAAAGTGTCATATTACTAATTTCAAAATGTCGCCAAAATTGGACATTGGATCAACGAACTCCCGTCTGCCAAATTAAATTTATGTTGCATTTACGATGTATGAGATCAATAAGGAAATGACAGAAAATCTCGGTTGTTATAATAATATTTAACAATTTTTGAAGTTGTATCAAAATACTGGAATGTTGAAACAATTTTCTCCCATCTGCCATTTGGAAGATAAGTTTGACATGCAAAGTAAAATCCAAGAAATGTATTGGCAGATGTATCCAAGGTGTATTAACATTTGGCAGAAACAATAAAAATGTCAAAATTTTTCAAAGTTGAGATCAATTTTTTCCCGTCTGCCAATAATCTATATTGAATTAGCTACTACTAAAAGCTTAAATTTCGACTGGCAGAAATTGCAGACTGATACAAGTTCTTATAATTGATGAACAAAATTGGAACAAAAATTGTTTATATCATGAACGTTTTTAACCCGTCTGCCGTTTGTTTCAGTGAAATGTAGTTATGAGAATATGCATATTCTCAATATGGCAGAAACCGCAATGAGCTACATACGTTGTACATTTATTGTTGAGTTGCGAAAAATGTTGGTGTGTCCAAACAACTTTCTCCCGTCTGACAACCGGGTAATTAAAATTAAAGTAGCTCTCAAGATATACCTAAATATGATAAAGCAGAACA